TGCTCTGTTGCCTGGGCTAGAGTGCCATGGCATCAGCCTAGCTCATAACAACCTCAAACTCCTGGGCTCAGGTGATCCTCCTGCCTCAGCCTCCCGAGTAGGTGGGACTGCAGGCATGTGCTGCCACGACCGGCTATTTTTTTCTGTTTTTAGTAAAGACAAGGTCTCACTCTTGCTCAGGCTGGTCTTCTTCTCCTGAACTGAAGTGATCCTCCCGCCTTGGCCTCCTAGAGTGCTAGGATTACAGACGTGAGCCACCCCGCCCGGCATCTCATTTTTAAAAATAGGAATTGGTAGTAATAGTTACACATTTTGGTCAGAATGAAATAAGATAATAGAGATAAAACATATTACAAAATGTAAAGCACTTCACAAGTGTTGGTGACTTTTACTGTTTTCTATGAGTACACTCTACAAACTATAACCAGCAATAACATTCAGAATAATATTTATTCTTTTCAAGACAGGCTGAAGGAAAAAATTGAATCCAAATAAATCAAATCATAAGAATGAAATAAACTACGGATAGCAAATTTCAGGGGACAGGAGAATTAAAATTTCCTTTTGGAAATAAGGTTATGAGGGGGAAATGTTAAGGTAAAGTTTTGTTTAGTTATTTTTATGCAAAATATTAATCCCTATAAGCACACCAAGCACAAAAACAGTGACAAAATAGTAAGTAAAATTGCATAATTGTGATACAATGTTATATGTAAGTAGTTACTCAAACTTAATTTCTTTTAGACAATAACCTTTCCCTGATACACAGTCACATGAGGCAGTTAATAACACATAGTTTTATTAAGGTAGCTATATCACCAGGTAAGGGTCAATAACAGTACACACTGAAAAAGTGTCAAATTCCTTCTCTGTTGCTGGAATATAAATATAAACTCCTTCTAGCATATGCTATGGGATGGAACTTTGCCAATCAATGACTATTGAGTGAATCTGGATTTTTTCCCCCAGTGTCTAGCAATAAGAAGAGTTTTTTCATGGGGATTGGTGACAGGATGTGTATCACTAGTACTTATTCTGCCAAAAGTTGGCATTGAGCAGAAGCCTCGGGAGTCTTTCGTAGCAGTAAGTGGAAAGGACGAGATCAGGGATCAGGGACAGCTTTTAAAATCGACTTTTATTCCGCTTAAAGTCAACCGGAATGGTGTCACTCTGCTTGTACACATCTCTCTGTGGCACAGTTCCAAGGAAATCAGTTCTATATTGATCCTTAACATTAGTATGTCTGCATTAAACTAAGTCCTTTCAGTGTGTTTCATAACAAATTGAACTTTTTAAAAATCTCTTCTATCATGGTTATTGCTTCGTAAGAGTATATTCACTCTAAATATGATTGCTCTGAGAGAGGGTCATTTTGAGGGAGCCAGAGCTTTATATTCTTCCTGCTTATTTCCTCTTTGAGTTGTCTAGTGGTTTTCTTAATGATAACAAAATGCATTTATAAAATAAATTTTCCGATCTGTTGACTGCAGGAACTCTTAACCACTCCATTTGCTGTTTTCCTCTATTTATCTTTTCCCTTGTTTTGTGATATTTTCCTTTTTTTGTGATACCATACCCTCTACCTCTTCCTTGACCTATTCCTGATGTTCATCTGTCTTGATTCAGAGCTTATTTACTCTCAGTCAGGCACAATACTGAAAACTGGGGAAATGATCTTAACAAAACACCTCTTACTATTTAATACTGTCTCGGTGACTTTGGAAAGGCTCCTAAATGAAGCCTCAAAGGACAAACAGGAATTAGCAAGGGTCAAAATGGGAGCAGAACACATTGAGCAAGTGCAAAGGCCCCAAGGCAGAAAGGGTGGGGTGCGCCCTGGGGAATTACTGGAAGCTTCCCATGGTTTAAAGAGCAAAGAGGAGGAAGCATCATAAATGAGCTGGAGTGATAAACTCAGGAAGGGCTCTGGGCATGAAGAAAAGTTCAGCTTTTTTGCAGTGAGCAGACAGAAAGAAACCACTTAAGGATTTTAATCAGTAAACTAACATATTCTAATTTACACCCTAAAAGGTACTTCTAGAAAAAGGTGGAAAATGCTTTGAATGGGATAATTTTAGAAAAAAATAAAGAGCATTTTTTTTTCCAATATGTGGTCCTGATGCTATTGTTCAATACATATTGGTGTGATACTGTTATCCTTAAAAATTGAAATGAGGATTATTTAAATAGAGCACAATGATACATGTATTAAATCCATGCTAAAATACAAATCTATTCAAAATTGGCAAGTCTGGAGGCATAGCAAGGAAAAACCTTGTCATAGTATACCATCGCCCCTTGTGTATGATTTGTGCAATTGAGACAATAGGCCGGAGAAACTTCTAACCACATGTGTGAATATATATTTTGCCATAGCAAGAAAATGATTGCTGAACAAATCTTCTCCCAGAGTTATATGCTAATTAAAATACCTAACTGAAGAAAGGTACATTGGTTTAGAAAGCATTCTTTATACCAATATAATTCTTTTTAACAGGAAGAAGACAATTGAAAAACAGGGCCCCTGTTTTAAAATTAATTCTTACTATAGTTCAGAGGCTTCCTGAACAAGTTAATTTGAGCATGAGATTATTTAACTAATAATAGGTAACTGCTGTGAATCTCCATTTTTACATGATCAAACTAAAGAAGACAAAAGATGAACTAGCAATGCTTTGTTTGAAACGAAAACTGTAGCTCATTATCAATGAAAAGATTATAGTACCTGTCAAAAACCTAAAAGTTACTCAAAATGGTCCCTTCAAAAGTACAAATGAGAGCTGGCATTGTTTAAATGGAAGGAATCAGAGAAAATACTTGAAGTTAGCTTTTAACTATTGCCTTACAACTCCCTGACTTGGTCTTTTTTCTGCTGTTATAACAGAACACCTGAGATGGGGTTGTTTATAAAGAACAGAGATTTGTTTCTTACAGTTTTGCAGGCTGGGAAGTTCAAGGTCGGGGGTCCGCATCTGGCAAGGGCATTCTTGCTGTGTCATCCCAAGGCAGAAGATAGAGGACAAGGGAGAGAGTGGGGCAAGGGGACTGAACTCATCCTCTTATCAGGAACTCACTCCCACAATAACTAACTCACTACCACAGCATTAGTTCATTCATGAGGATAGAGCCCTCATGACCTTATCACCTCTTGAAGCTCTCACCTCTCAATATGGTTTCATTGATGACTAAGTGCCTAACCCATGAACTTGGAGGGACGTGTGCAAACTATCACATCCCTCAAGTAATATGAAGTCAAAAAGGATTTTTCCGTCAGCTGCAAAAACTTGCATAAAATGTTCTTACATCCCAGCGATGACATCCATTGACACATATTTTTTTAAAGTTAATACTTAATGGTGTTAAATATTTAATTTGCATGTAATTATTCAATTTTCTTAATTTTATGTAATATTTTTGAAGCATTTTATTGATTTCATATGCAAATAATTTATAATTTTAAGCATTGAATCTCACTTAGCATTTTGAAATATATTGTTAAATTTTATGCCAGAATTATGTTAAATATTTAGTGTCAATAATTTTAGTTTATGAATCTTGAGCATTTATTTTGACATAACCACGTCACCCTTTTGCTCTGCTATTGCTTTCCTTAGCAAAAGTGTTAGAAGGCTGTTGTATTCATCCATTGATGATGGTAAGCTGAACATAAATAGTGGTTGTCGGGGAAAGAAAGAAAAAAATTACATGGATTTCAAATAGAGGAATGAGATAGAATCAACAAAACTTGGCAATTTGAGGGGTATAGTGTATGTGAAAGAAAAAGGGAAAAAAAGATACTCTGCCTTTGTGTATAAACTTTGAGTAGATGTAGTTATGAACATTACCTTTCACACATACTAAGGGATCATAAGAGAAAGGAGGGAAGCTGAGAAGAGAGAGAGGGAAAGCAGAAGAAAGAGCACGAAGACAAATAGCAAATAGCATCATTTCAGGAAATGCTGTGATTTCAATGATTAATTGAAATTAATTGATTAATTCACAAATTAATATCCCCTCCCCCTACCATTTCTAGGCTGTTTCTTGGAAACTTTATATATACCAAATATACCATGATGAATTCGGGACCTCTCCTAATCTAACAGCTATATGTATATAGAGGACTGATATACTCTTGTATTCCCATGATGAGAAAATGAATATTTTTTACAGAAAGATGAGTCTCTGCAGTGATTATTTCCATAACATCTTTAGAATATGCCTCGCATATATTATAGGTTCAATTACCTGTTAATATCTGGTCAAGGAACCTAACTACTTTTATTTGGAACTTGGAATATATTTTTCCATTTTAAAAATCTTGTTAAAAATAATTTAGGGATATAGCTACTTGGAAACTACTTACACTTTACATTAGTAAATGTCACGTTTGAAAATTGTATTAAGGTTGGTCAGTTCTAAGAGCAACCAGGTAGATAACAAAGCTAATCTGATTTGCATTACAGAGACTATACTCAGAATTGCTCTTTATTCGGCTTGTGAGCACTTTAATTTCTGTCCCTTCTTTTTTCTTTTTTTTATGTACCCCCTATTTGCTTCATATTTAGAAATTCATGTTTATTTAATGTGAAAAGAGTATTTTCTATAGCTCTTTTCCTTTCTATACCAAGTTTGGTAATTCTAAGGAGAGGGCTTAAAGTTTTAATCCTCTAATTTTCAGAAAGGCTGAGAGCATTAAGAAGCTTACTGGAGAGTTGACGTGTGCTGTAATTTTGTTTTCTGGGATTTGAGTTGAGAAGAACCATAAAAAAAAAAAAAAATGTTTGGCCGTGGTCAAATGGCTTTTGGTACTCAAGTGGCACTCTGATACCTGGGTATTAGCTTATTTTTGCCACGTTGAAAATGAAAATGAGGTCAAGGACTTCCAGAGCCCTAAGGCTCCTTTGAACTGTCATATAAAAAATGGTCTCTAAATGTGAGGACATCTGGAAGCCCTACTGTGAACAGGCAATGTAGGTGTTTTCTTTTGAATTTTATTTCAGAAATCTCTACCACAGGCCCTCTCGGCATGGGAAGTACTGCCACCAGCACCACCCTCCGGACCACAGCCTGGAGCCCAGGAAGGAGCACAACCCCTTCAGTGCCAGGAAGAAGGAACCGGAGCACCAGCACCCCGTCTCCAGCCGTCGAGGTGCTGGACGACATGACCACACACCTTCCATCAGCATCGTCCCAAATCCCAGCGCTCGAAGAGAGCTGCGAGGCTGTGGAAGCCCGAGAAATCATGTGGTTTAAGACCCGGCAAGGACAGGTAGCAAAGCAGCCATGCCCTGCAGGAACTATTGGTAAGTCTGTCCGAAAGAGCTAAGCTGAAAGTATGTTGTTACTTAGGCTTGATTTTCTAGTGTTCTTGTCTTTTCTTTCTTTTTTCTTGGGGGAGAGGTAGGGAGTACTGCATATTTATAGCATTTAGTTACTTCGCATTGGATTGGACTCTAAACTTGCCTGAATTACAATTGAAAGCCATGCATTTCCCAGAGTTTGAAAATGCAGCATGAACACCTCACAGGCAAAATTTGGTGGGCATACATGTGAGATGAGTAGTTTTCACCCACAGTGGAAGGTCTCTGGGTCAAGTTATAGTTAGGCCGTAGATGTTCTAGCTAGTCCGGGGAGGCAGCTTTTCTATGCAGCAGCCCAGAGTCATCATTGATTACTGGGAGTTAGTTTCATGCTTGTCACCAACTGTCAGATATTGATTGCAGAAAATGAGGTCGAGGACTTCTATATTGGAAGATGATCATAGAAACGACCTAAAATGTAACCAAAAAGAAAGTTTAACTATTTTTTTTTTTTACCAGTCATTGTAGTTGTCCTTTAGAGGTGAAAGGCTCTTAAGACTATGAGAAAACTGCTTAAGGAGTCGGTCTTACACACTCACACATCCACTATAGAGAGCAATCCTGCATCGTCTCTCTAGGAGACAGTTAAGAACTAAATATTTCTTTGCCTATTTTATTACTGATATGATTCACAATAGCCTCAAATGGTAAGCATATTATTATTTACCATTTGTAATATGGAAATATTCTGATTTTCTTATTGTTACATACATCGACATTCATAAACTAGTACTCAACAACACTGAAATTTGTATTATTCCCTAAAATGTGTAAATAAAAGAAATACACAATAGATGTCACTGTACTAGCATTCTCAGGGACTTTGTCTCTGGATGTTATTGATCTGGTTACTTTAAGGAGGAAGGTTTTTCTCAGAAAAATTCTAGTATGGATATATCATTCCAAATTCCATGGTATATGAAGCAGTGGGAAGACCAGAGGGAATCTTGATTTTTATAAAGGTGCACATTTAATTTTTTTCTAGTAATTATTTTGCTGAAATATTCAGAAATCTTCCTTTATGAAAAGGAGGGAGAATATTTATTTCTAAAGTTTTCTGTGGTATTGGAATAGGAAAATAGTTTGAGTCCTCTTCCTTTCTTAGCCTTGTTCCTTTAGGTCTGGGCCTCAGTTTCTTCATCTCTAAGAGAGAAATAAAAACAACCCCCCTACTTCAGACATCTGTTGTGAAGATTAGTGAAATAGCATAATGGAAAACACTCTGCACTATAGAAATGTGTCATTTTTATTTTGTGAAAACTGGGAAAGAGATTTAAAAGAAACCTTCTGAGGCCTTCGCAGATCACCGACCCATCTTATTTTTACCCTTCCCTTTCCATTCTTTTGTACGTTTGGCCAGGCCCTCACGGGCTCTCACTTGAATTATTGCAGTAGCTTTCTTACCACCTCCACGTCACTCCCTCAAAACCACCCTCCATACTGCTGCCAGAGTTAGCTTTCCAAAACTCAAATCTACTTCTCCCTCTGTCTGTTGTTCTCCACTGACTTCCCAGCACCCACAGATGATAGACAGGGGAGATTATGGTTTGGATTTATCTATCTTTCCAACTCCATTAAAGGCAACTCTCCCATCCAGTAGAGCCCAGAAGTTTCCCAAAGATGGCACATGTTTCCTCCATCTGGAACGTTCTTTTCCACCTCTTTTTCCTGAGAAACCCACACACTGATTCCTTTAAGACTCAACTGCTACCTCGCCTCTAAACTCAAGTACTAAGCCCCATGGAGGCAGGTACCACATCGATCTGATTCATGAAATTATTCTTCTTTGCCTGTTGTAGCAGCCAGCACGTGCTTTAGAAATATTGTATGTTTTTGTTTGTTGTACTATATTTCTCCAGTGCCAACTCCTTGCCAGGTACTGTAGCTGGTGTTTTAATAGACATTATGTCAATTTAATTATCTCATTTTTACTTTTGCTCATATTTAAACATAACGTGGATATGAAATCATTCTAAGGAAAAGGAACAGACGTATTTCTTTCATTATTGTAGGTGTATCGACTTATCTCTGCCTTGCTCCTGATGGAATTTGGGATCCCCAAGGGCCAGATCTCAGCAACTGTTCTTCTCCTTGGGTCAATCATATAACACAGAAGGTAACCCTTGTGCCTGATGAGAAAGTCTGCCAACACTGTATGCTCTGTTGTTGATTGTAACTGCTGAAAACAAAACAGTCAAGACTTCTTAAAAAATGAATGTAGAAAACTTCTCTCATTTAAATTTAATTTCACATTTAACGACCATCTCTAATATGCTATGAGCTAATTCTGGAATGTTGTTGTTTTTGAAGTGCAAATCCATGAACTTCCTCTAAGCCAGGCAGCATTGCTTATAATAATTTTATTATTAATAAAATTTCTGTGCTATTGTGAACTACGGATATAAAAGTCCAAGAGGCATTATACATCAAGCAAGCAAAAATCTCCCAGAATACATGCAGATGGGGTTTCCTGTGGAAATAATAATTACAATAGAAAAAGTCCTCTTTTGGAATCTTAAGCCACTTGATAAATGTTCTGTAACCTAATCATTTATCAGTGCTGAAAGTATACACATGTGTGACAGGATCTTGCAGACTCAAATTCGCAGGGCTTATTTGGTTGCAATATGTTGAGCATTTTTATTATTAATGCACTGTGGGGCTTTGAATTGATTTCATTACAAACAGAGACCAGATGTGCATTTATGCCAAAAGGGCTATGGGATGAATCCTTATTATAGCAATTTATGTGGATTTATGCACTCCTAAAATGGAGAGTCCTTGTATGGCACATTAGCTATGCTGAGGAATTTCTGAGCGAGATTTTTCCCAAGAAATATTACAAATGATGGCCTCACTAAAAGCCTGCCTGTGCCATTTGCTCTTTTCTCTATTTGTTTTTAACCAGACTTATCTTCAATAATATACTGTATAATAATCTATAAATATCTACCCAGCAGATCATTTAGCAGATGAGCCATAACTATCTATTTACCCTAAATCATGGAAGAACAGTGGTTCTATTGACTCTAGTTACCCTCTTACATATGCATCTCCATACTTGTTGCTATTCATAATGATACTCCTTCAATTTCAGCACTGTTCCTGCCACAGTTTTTATGTCCTTTGATTTTATTACAATGTAGCTCAGACCCGAGGGCAAATAATTCTTGCTGAATGTGATCAGATTAAGAGATCAGTAGCCGTATCTCCTTACATTAGCCACTTTTTAAAAACAGTCCCTACATACTTAGCCCAGGGGTTAATATAAATTCAATAATAATTCTTCTAGAAAGCTGAATGTTTTTGTGATAATTCCTAAATATAGTTGGACTATTTTATTGCATAAATTACTAGGTGACTTTAACTGATAATGATGCTTAATTCTTTTCTTTCCTCTTCAAGCCCTGCTAATCTTAGGACAAAAGAGATAATTCCTTTCAAAGACCAGACAGCTGTTGCCCATTTGATTTATGGATTGGGATGGTTTTGTTTTATAATAAATACATCCTATTCTTCCAGAGCCTTTTTGCTTACTCCCATAGAGTCTATAAAAATATTATAATTGTATTAAAATTAAAGAATTTAGGTAATTGGAATTTATAGAAATACCTTAGATTGATGACTCATAAATTTATAAAATCTGAAAAAGTATATCAAGAGGTTTTTGAGCACTCTGATCAGCTAATGGAGCTGTCCCAAGGTCAGTGGTTGAGCTGGTGTTTTAACTGGGTCTCTATTCATCAAGACACCGTGCTTGGCCCCAGCAGTGGTTAAACTGTGGGTAGAATATGATGCCTTCATAGCCCTATACTCAGAGTACTCCCCTAGACCATCTCTCTTCAGTTCTGTCTACCCATTCATCTGCTTGTGTCCCTTACACCTGCAAATATTTATGCTGCTCATTGAATATCAATGACAGTTGAACAGGTTTCTTTACCCTAAAACTTCAATACTTCAATGTTAGCATTGTAAACTTCCAAGAGAGGATCAGTTGCAATGTACCCAGAGTTGTTTGTATTTTCTCTCTCTCCACCCCAAGACATCTTCCACAGAATCCATCCCTTTCCTCATCTCCTCTCTCAATGCCATAGTCCTGGCAACTGATGGAACAGCTGGAGGGGGTTTCTTTACAGTGGTGTAGGAGCAGTGAAGGCGAAGTTCAAGGGCTTGAACAGAAACCCAGGGCTAGTAGCAGGGAGGGAACGATTCCCAGCCCCAGGCTTGTAGGGCGCCATGTCAAAGGAGTGACCAAAAATTGGAAGCACAGTGTCCTTGAGAGGAAAGGTGACCTACAGACAAGGGGCACAGCCTGGCCCCAAGTGACCTTTAAAAAAGGGATTGAGGGAAATTCACCCCCCTCCCTCCATGTGCCTGCCCGGCCACACCACTGGCCAAACCCGGTCAGAGGCCAGAAAAGAGGGACACTCCTAATGACCTCCATGTAAGTCCACCTCCTAGGGAGGAGGAGGAGGGTGGAGAGTGGAGGATGGAGGAGGGTGGAGAGTAGGCTGGGGAGTGGCTCGGAACTAGCAACTGGATGGTGCCCAACATAGTCCTCAGCTTTTCTCTACTCTCTCTCTCACCCCTCTTCCCTTTCCCTACTGCCTTCCATCCTCCCACCCTTCTCCTCCTCTCTTTCCCTCTCTTTCTTCCCTTTTTCCCATCTTCTCTCCTCCACTCCCACCTCCTACCTCCCCATTTCTCTGATTTTTTCTGCCACATTGAAGAGGTAATATATATATATATATATACATACACACACATATATATACACAAACACACACACACACACACACATATATATATATATATATATATATCTACTAATTCAGTCAGTCCCCCTCCCAACTAGGTAAAGTTCTGTGAATTTCAAACTTTCAAAGCAAAGGAACACTTTTTACCCCCAGTGAAAGCATAGCTGAAAAAAATAAAACCAATATACACATGCAAAGAAAAGGGCTTATAAATAACAGAAGTTTATTTCTGACAGTTCTGGAGGCCGGGAAGTTCAAGATCAAGATGCTGGCAGATTTGGTGTCTGGTAAAGGGCCCACTTTCTGGTTTAGAGCAGCATCTTGTCATTGCATCCTCACATAGTGGAAGGGGTAGCTCTCTACAGGGCCTCTTTCATAAGGGCACTAATCTCCTTTGTTAGGGATCTGCCCTCATGACTTAATGACTTCTCAAGGGCCCTGCCTCTTAATACTATCACACTGGGGGAGATTAGATGTCAGCATATGAATTTTGGGGGGATACAAACATTCAGGCCACTGCCACCTCCTTCCGGTCTTTACAGTGCCTCTGGGCAATTCCTGGGAACTTTAATAGAAAGAGCCCTCCCCCCTTGCAAGCCATCAGGCCAGGAGGGAGAAAACAGATGAAGAATTTTGGTGGTTTGGATTCACAAGTGAATTTGACCACTTATTTGCGGTGAAGTTAAAGATTAAATTCTGTGCAACAAAGGAAAGCAGATTACTTTTCACTAGAGAAAATGTAAGCTTTTAAAATTAGAGTATCATGAAGGAATTTGTTGCAAACAAACTAGCTCAAATACTTGCACAATAATGAGGTTTAATAAAAAGTATACTGTGTACAGAAAAGGAAGAGTATATGTTGTATAGAAAGAGACCTTTACCCCAACAATGAAATAGAGAAGGAGGAGAAAGAAAGCTCAGTAGGTAGGTGAGTAGAAGGCCTGAGAGATGTAGGTGGATGGTTGGATGGATGGAAACGTAGGTAGAAAGATAAATGGGTAGATAGATAGGAAGATAGACATGTCTTCAAATTAATGTTTTAAAAACAGTTTCCAGGTGTTTTTTTTTGAAAGCCAACAATTACCTCAGAGCTATGCCTCCTGAAGCATATGAAAATATCCTATTTTTTTCATCTTTCTTAATGAATGCTATAAAATCACAATCTCTGCCCTCAGCTTGATCTCTAGCTTGCACTCAGTTTTTCAAATAGGAGTTTATATTTTCTACTTTGCATATTTTTAAAGAATTCATTGCACTTTATAATCTCACCAGTCTTTTTTTTTTTTTTTTTTTTTTTATGTGAAATTGGGTGGCATTACGGTTCTGAATAGCTTCCTCATTATTTACATGCAAAGTGAGGTCAGCTGCCTACTTCATTGCCTGGTCCAACTATTATGTGAAAAAGAATTGCCCGAGTTGTCACTGAGAATAGTCTCTTTCAGTTTCTAACGGAAGTGCCTTTTCTTTTGTTTGTACACAAGCTACTGACAGATTTTGAGATAATGTGAGGTTATTCCTGCATTTTCTAAAGAAGGAGAATATGAAGCTCTAGAAATGATGTTACTATTTTACAATATAAAATAAGCCATTTATTTGCCCCGAAAGACTAGATAGATTGAATCCTGTCTCCTATATGTTAATTCCCCAGTGTAGATCCAGCATGGAATGTAAGCAAATTGCTTCTTAATTTTGTCAGAGATGGATGGGGTTTCTAAGACTTTAGACTTAATTTAACCTACCCCCAATTGTAAGAAAGAAGCATGTCGTTGCTTATCTATCCACTTGACTTAGATTTACAGCAAAATAGGTAAATCTTTCAAAGAAATGGTACCTAAGTAGCTATGTACTTACACATTATGAGTAATTACTTCATCAATTGTTTTGGCCTCTGATTAATGATTGATATAATAACATCTCAAAGCTGATTTTAAAGGAAATTGTTTTTACTTGTGTCAAAATTTAAGATGTAAATAGTATCTGTCTCTGTCAAAGTTATTATTCTTAACTAGAGCTGTAGGGTTTTCCCTCCTGTATTTAAGTCCTAGGTATAATCCCACCATATTAATATAAGCATGAATTTACTAATCCTCCCAAAACTCATAAAATTTCTCAGTGTGTATGTGCTTATGTCTGAGAAATAATTTTAGTAGATTTTAGCAAAAGAGATGTCAGAGATAGGCATTTTAATGAGATCTCTAAGCTAGGATATGTAGAATAACCTTATTTCCACCCTGCCTCTGTGCACAGGAAACTTGAGGAAGATTCAAGATATTGTGTATTTTAATGCAAACAAGATCATTGTAATCTACAGTGACTGGAGTGAGAGAAATAAATAGGGTGATCGGAAGGAGAGTTACCTCAGATGCCACTGGAGGGGATGTGGTCAATGATGGCCAGTCAGATAATGTGGTCATTGAACCCAGTTGAGGTTACAGTGGCCACGGGGAGGATCCAGTTAATGGCGCCACCATCACGTTGAGTTATGTGAACAAGAAACCCAAGAGTGGCTCTCAGTGCCTCCCTGTCGTTCTTCTTGAACACCCAGTCAGACACAAGGCCTGTCAGGTGTACCTGTAAATCCCTCTCAAGTCAGGCCATTGCTGTTGACTTCTCCCCACCCTCACTACACCAATCTATAGCACCTTCTACTCAGCCAGGTTTTCTTTCCTTCACTCCTGAGTCTTCCAATCCATTCTGCTGAGCTTGATTTCAAATATAAACCTGGTTAGACCCCTCCTACTTAAACTCTTTAGTACCTTCCCACAGTTCTTAACATAATTCCCCAAATCTTCATCGTGACTTCCAAAGGACAACTAATCTATTCCTCGCTCATCTCTCCGCCTGGCTAAACTCTGGACACAGTGCCCTTTGCACAGTGTCCCTAAGATCCAATACCTGTTCCTCCTAAACCCTGTTCTCTCTGCCTGGAAGCTCCCACCCATATCCTAACCTAATTCCTTCTTTTTCCATTCCAATTCAAACAAATTAAACTTTCTTCTTCAGAGAAGCATTTCTTAAATTACTTCCTAACTTCATACACCAGGTTAAGATGTCTTTAAATTATTCTACCACGTGGGGCTTCTGTATTGCTCTGAACAAAATTAAAATTAAATAATTGTACAGTTAAATTTTTAATGGCTCTTTCCATTGCTACTGTGTAAACTCCTTGTAACAACAAACTAGATGTTACCACCGTGCTATAGAAATTCAAATGTTCCTCAAAGAACAAATGAGCATATAGGCTGAATGAATAATTGTTGAAATAATAGATGGATAGATAAATAGATACACATATATTGATCCTATTTTTGAAATATTAGATATATGTATTTAATACATATACACAAATGTATATAATTAATGCTATGCAAGTATCAATATTGGATCCTTAAAGCAGAAAAAGATGTGTTTTTCCTCTTTGTTGTATCCTGTAGTAGTCTGTCTTCTAAAACCATGGTTATTCTAGACTTCACTTTTTATATATCATATTCTTGGCTCAGAGAGCCATTTCTCAATAGCACCCACCAGAATCCATCTTACCTGGTCACTTCCAACTTTATTTTTTAAGATTTCGTTTGGTTGTTAACTCTTCTTGCTCTCCCTCTTCCTTTCCAGGTATTTATTGCCCCTGTACTGTATTCCCATAATACTTCATAGAGATTTATATTATTACAATTACATTGTTGAATTCATATTGTCTGTCTTTATGTACCCTACCCCAATCCCGACTGATAGAATGTAGCTTCGGAAGGTCAAGAGCTATGTATGATTCATCTTTATTTCCTCAAGAAATAATAAGTGTTCAAATAATTGTTGAAAGAATAAAAAATTGTTACTTTGATTTATTCATTTTTAAGATAACAAGAGGGCCTGTAGTCCCAGCTACTCTGGAGACTGAGGCAGGAGGATCACTTGAGGTCAGGAGTTGGGGACTGCATAAGCTATGATTGCACCTGGGAATAGCCACTGCATTCTAGCCTGGGCAACATAGCAAGATTCCATCACTAAAAATAATTTTAAAAAAGTAAAAAGTAAAAAATTTTGAAAAAGATGAAGAGAGGATCAGAAAGATTAATTAGTTATAGCAGTTTTCTTTTACATTACAAACATACTTTTCATATTTTTATTGTAAACATTTTTATAACTTATTTGTATTTCAGGGTTTTTTTTTTTTCTTACAACTTTTTTATTGTTGAACATTGAGTTTCAGAGTTCCTTTGGAGTATTAAATAAGTTTATTCTTTATAAGAAAACACTTTTGAACGCTAAAATATAATTACTATTTTTAAGATAATACACTAGTGATTTTCATATTTGACTCACTGATTTATACTATACTATCCGTTATTGACACACATACAGCCAGCTGAATTTCTTATTATCTTTTATGTTGAGGAAAGTTACATTTTGATTCATTGGTAATCTACATTCTCAACTTTTTCATTACTGTACATAAAGTTTAAATCTTTGTAAAAGGGAATTACATAGGCTTTCTTTTCCACCTTATCATTTTCCAATCTAACATTATAACATTGAAGATTATGGTTGCATAACTATATAGAAATTAAAAAAATGAATTACAATATGAAAATAACAGGGCTATTATTTATTTTTTCTCTGTTTGATAACTAATTTTGATTGGGGCGCTACGCTCCGATTGGCAGATTGGTAGGGTGTTCCTTCATCCCCCGGGTGTGGCAATTGCTCAGGCGCCCATATTTGCCCCAGGAGGACCGGGGTTCCCTCACTGTCTACCTGACACAATCATTCCACTTTATTTGTTTCTTTAACACTCATTCCTATCACAAACATTAAGCACCTCTAAGTAGATGGCGATACCCTACCTATTTGACTAAGAATTTTAGTTGTGCCCTTATAGCTTTCTGAATGCCCATTAGGGAGGGAGCTTACAAAGAGATGATCTCTCTGTGATCCAATGTTCTATGTCAGCTGACATAGAACAGAAAAGAAAACTATTTAAAAAAGAAAAAAAAGAAAAGAAAACTATTTCTTAAATAATGACACTATTAGTATATTTAAATAGTAATGTATTAATATTAGTAATATATTAATATTAATATTAGTATAATTAATATTAATATTTAAATAGTAATAAGAGATTAAAGTTTGGATAGATATATATCAAACCATTAATCTCTGAAAAGTAGGAATATATAGAGGTGAAAGAAGAGACATTCATTATTTTCACATTGCATCCTTCTATTTACCTTTTCTTGTTTCTCATGACTTTCTTACAAACTAATATATATTCCTGTCTTATTAGCTAGGGATATCAAATTTGCTCAAGTGATCATGGGGTATTAGTCTTTGTCTCTTTTAACATCTTTGGAGTGTTGACAACTTCATATATTCTTGTAGCATGTACTTAAAAAATCAACATGTAGTTTCAGAAAAGAAAAACACTAGGAACTAAGCAATAGTTTATTATCCAGTGTATTGGGAGCAAACTTTCTTATCGTATACTAAGCAGACGTAAATCATTTTGTAAAGCAGGGATTTCATTAGGGGTAGAATCCTCGCAGAGCTTTGCAGCTGGTGAATATTCATTGTGAACTAATTGCTAAATTAGGCACAAAGGAAAATTTGTACCTGTCTCTAAGAACTTAGAATATGGTTGGGAATTCACAACACCCGCTCATCAAACTCCAATTTAGAATCTCACAGAGAAAATATTAATAATATGGCAAACTTTGGACTGAACCACCCAAACAGATAATTCAGGTGAGAATAATTTTTAGAAGGAAGATTCCTCTCAGGAGGAGCTTCCCGAAGGCATGAATTTAAACTCAGGTTTTGAACAAAAAGATGAATGAACATGAAAAATTGGGGAGCATATTCCAGGTGAAGGTGGAGTTTAATAACTGTTTTTTACCTCCGTGATTAAAACGTACATGCAAAAACAATTGTTATTAATAAAAGAGACCAGTGAAAGCATTTATGTAAGATCTCTTTCCTTTGTATTTTGTTTCAAAATTTTAGTTGAAATCTGGAGAGACAGCTGCCAACATTGCTAGAGAGCTGGCTGAACAGACAAGAAATCATCTGAATGCCGGGGATATCACCTACTCTGTCCGGGCCATGGACCAGCTGGTCGGCCTCCTGGATGTTCAGCTCCGGAACCTGACCCCAGGAGGAAAAGATAGCGCCGCCCGCAGTTTGAACAAGGTAAGGGCCTCAGTTATATGCCTCTTTAATGTTGTAAAATCTGGAAGACTTTCCTGCTTAATTTTCTTCCTTCTCTAGAATTCAATCATTCTAAAGAGAATCATTAGCTAAATTCAATTCACTTCATTATTTCATTATATTAGTTGAACTATTTGGTTCTTAATCTAAAGAAACAATAAATGATAATCTTTCCATGTATGTTTTGAATTTGACAGTTCTGTTTTCCATAGCAGTTCCTCTATTTTGTATGCTAAATTCTGATAGGGTTAATGTGGATAAATGCAATTTATGTTGTTTCTTTTTCTTTTCTTTCAAATTTTTATATTAAAACAATTGACAACTAAAAACGTATATAATCTATAAGTAGAAATTTTACAAATAGCAAGAAGAGGCTATTAATAATCCATTATAGATGTTTTTAAAATGAGATAATTTAACTTAATGATACTTTTAAAAAACTCATGAAGCAAATAATTAAGTTTTAAGCTTTACTTCCTTTAGATTTTGAAATCACTCAGATTTTGCATCACTTTCACTAAAATTTCAAAAGTTTGAGTGTATTTCTGCAAATTTGAATTATGAATAATGAAAAGAATTTATTTTCCTTTCAATTTCAAGGAAAATATATTTTATGAATTTGTATTTGTATTTGAATAAATAAAATGAGCATTTATTATGTAAACATATGAAATATATTTTATATCTGTATAAGGAATATCTTTCTTTATGTAACACAATACCACATGGTTAATTAATGCCATGCTAAAAAAATATTAGCACTGCTACTATCAAATGACGTCTTCCTTGAGTGGCCTTAGTGTAGTAGATCAAATGATTCAATGATTGAATGATTGAAACTGGATTTTAGAGCCTTGAATATCATGATAGTCTTACTAGTTAAAAAAGCAAGAATTCAACAGCAACAGACTAATATTCCTCTATGGAATTCACGAAAAGTGCATTCTCTTTTAGAATTAAAAAATGACTTTGCAGAATGGCCTTTTAATATGTTTAGTTCTTCTGTGTCTTCCTGGGTAAGAATTTCACCCATCAAAATGAAAGAAATTTTTAAAATAATGATCATTCAACATGGAAAAAATCAGATATTTTATCTGGACAATACAGTGTTTTCTGTAATTTCATCTTCAGAAAACAGGTATAGTTTTATCTATTAGACAGAAATCATTAAAGGTTTTTTTTCATGCTGAGCATAAAGGAGTTATTTTTGTCACTTATGGTCCTGATATAGAATCACAGCCAATCCCCAGATAGAATATAATCCACAGCTGCCTATATAATCTGGGCATGCTGTGATTTTAATGTGTTATCACCCAGGCTGACTGGATGCTATTAATGAGCATTGCTGCCAGCTATCCTTATCATAATGTGCTGAAAGTAGTAATTTCTATTAATGTTACATATCCATATCATGACTTGTTATAGCAATACTTTGTATCTTTATTTAAAAATGGTGTTGATGTCTGACAGTATCAGGTAAAGCTGGCAATTAATGTCACATTCTAACTGGCTACAGCTAATCAGCTTGCCTACTCTGAATATCAAATAACTACATAATGGGCAAATTTCCATTTGTGAAGCTTTTTAATGCTCTCTTTTGTTTCCCATTTGGCTCTTTTCAATTGTTTATATAATGTGGTTTGTCATATGTTAATTTGCATGATGGGGTAAGGAGATGGGAGGGCAAAGGTTATTCACATGCTTGCTGGCTTGCTCTCATTTCCTGTGGTTCCCACTTTCCCTGAAGCAGTTATAACCCATCAGACCTGCAAAGTCAACTCAGTACAAATCAATTGTGCTCCACATTGAAATTCTGGAGGGTTTAGAGTCCTGCAAACCAGGATTCGAGTCAGTGATCCAAATGACAGCCCTGGCAATTTACTTGCACTCATTCCTCACTTAATTCTTTAGAGAAGTAACTGCTGTATGCTCATTGAAGAATGCATGAATTAGAGTTGGGAGAGTATTAGCCACACAAAAGGCATCAGAGTAACTGCTTCTTAAAACCGGGTAATTTTCTCCTTCAACAATCAAGGCTACTGACGAAAAAAAAAACAAAAACAAAACAATAGGGAAGAGGAGAAAAACCCACAATCTAATTTATAAAATTTTGGCTCATTTATGTAAATAGGGTAAATAAGCTGTTATTATTCATTTCATAACCAGGAAAAAAATGTTTGGGACTGCATATGAGTTGCTATCAACCATTTGCCCATCAAAACATCACTCTGTGTGCAAACAAACAAAAATAGACTTCTTAGCCTACCGAAGTTTCTAAAATATAAAATTTGTTTTTTGGTTGAAACTGTCAAAAGAAATTCTTCAAGAAATAAAAGCAGTGATAAATCAGGAGATTAATCGCATTCTTTTAATCAGAAGTCATTTTTCTTTTGATATTCGTCCCTTAGAATCAAATAGTCATAATGAATGGGCATGTCTATTTTCCCGATAAACAGAAATTTTTGTTATGTATGAACGAACATATGATTTGTGGTACACATGAACCAGCCATATTATCTATAAACCACAAATAACATCTCTTCAAGAAATGGGTTCCAAACTTTGGCATAACTTCCTTAACTTTGTATGTCTTCATTTCTTGCCCATGAATTAACGACTAACCTGGTATGAAATGGATTGTTTAAAATGAATGAAGTACATCGATTTTGACTAATGTCTACTGAATGTATTTGGAGTTTTCTTGCCATCATTAACAGCCTTATACCATTCAGTTTCCACTTGGCTTGTTCTGAAAGGGTGTTGGCTACTGTTTTTCCAGCCACAGCTTACGTTTTGCTGCTGCTTAGCTTTCATTTTCTTCCAGAAAGTAGTAAACGACAAAATAAGGTGTTTTGTGTAGATGTGTTCTTTTATTTTTCTTGTTTTCTTCTGTCACTAACTTGTTTTTTCTATTCTGTGTTTAATCTGCTGTCTTAATGGATTCAGCTTCAGAAAAGAGAGCGCTCTTGCAGAGCCTATGTCCAGGTACTTTCTGCGTTTTTATAAATGTGTTAAGTTGTTGAATGTCTCTGTTGTGATGGCATTGTATGGACATCCGAGGGAAAAGTGATAATGTCGCCTATTGAACGAGAGGAATTTCAGGGAGGGCATGAAAGGGGGTATGGAGAGACATGAAGGAGTATATGCCAAAAAGAAATTTAGCAGTGCTAATGCTCTGTCAAACAAGAGAACCACAGACTAAGAAGGAGGTGCAGCTTCAGGTGTGAACCTTTTGATCATCACTAAGAAGGTGAGTTGGGTGTAATATATTAAATCCCTAATTTCTTCATAGAGGTGGGCATGAAAACATTTTATTTATACAACAGGTCAGCTGACATTTGAGTAGCAAGTCATTTAGAAATGAAACTCAGTGTCTTATAAGACAATAAATAGTCCAGAATACTTGGAATGTCATTCTGCTTTTCCAAAATGGAACTGTTTATTGGCTCAAGGCATATTTGTGACCATTTAAGTCTCTCACTTATTGCAAAAATTTTAATCCCAATGTAAATATAATTTTTTATCTAGCATTATGTTCTAATTTGTTTCTCCCTACCAAGTACTAACCAGGCCTGACCCTGCTTAGCTTCCGAGATCAGATGTGATCAGGCGCATTCAGGGTGGTATGGCTGGCATTCAGGGTGGTATGGCTGTAGACTGTTCTAATTTGTTTCTAAGCAATAAACCATTCCTGTGAATTTTATATGAAAGAAAGCAGTCGCAGAAGCATGCTCCCTAGTTGACTTTTACAAAAAGGGAGTGAAGGAAGAAAGGAGGGGAAGAAGGGAAGGAGGGAGGAAAAAATATGAAACTGTGTGACTGTAAACTTTGTGTATACATATCAAAGCATTCTTACAGCAGAAGCACATCTACATTTAAAAAGAGATGCCTGCAAGAACTAAGTTAATGTTTATGAGATTGGCACTACAAAAACTAAACCTTATCGGTTAATTTACAGTTGAACATAATATCATAATATCAGGGCATTGACTTTTTTTAACCAAAACTCCTAAGAAGTAAGGTTAATAGAAATGTTAAATATTGATTTGTTCATTTATACTTTTCCAATGGTCTGAATATTCACACCCACTATCCTTCTGGGTAGTATAGAACTAGGAATTGGATTTATAATTAGGAAATAACTTAGCATAAAATCATAGCAAAAGGAACTAGGTGGCCTTAGGGGAAAGATGGTCAAATTATGAAAAGCTCAATACAGTAAACATTTTAATGAATAGAGAGATCTCTGTGTGCTAGCTATAGCCGTTTGCTTAATTCTGGCTGACAAGTTATTTTTCTTTCAGCTGTCCCTGTTTTAAACTCCATACATAAATTTCTTCATTGCCTTTGCAAATACTAGTGAGCAAAACAAATATAATACAGTCCCTGCCCTAGGATTTTACCATCTAGTAGAAAATATTGATTAATAAATGTTAGCATATTAACACTTCAGATGAATTAAACTAATGTTGAGTGGATTCACCATTCTTTAATTATATTCTCATCCTGGGAATGTATTCTGTCATTTTGATTGGATTTGGTGTTTTGCAAGTCTCCTCGGCAACATGAAAACATATTGCAAGTGATCTCTATAAGTCAGTTAAATTTGCAGACTTTCTCTATTAAATGTTGCTTCAACAGGGAAGGAAAGATTTATTTTCCTCACCCATTGCTAGGTTCATGGCTGAGGCCCCTATAACAAAAGACAGATTTAACAAAAGAAAAGCGTACAAGTTTATTTAACATAAGATTTATATAACATGGGAGCCTTTGGAAATGAAAACCCAAAGATAGGGAATCCTGTGTATTTGTATGCTTAGGTTTGATGAAGAGTGAACCGTCATGAGGTAGTTTGATTGGACAAAGGAGGTGTGATCGAATGGTAATAAAGTGGAGAGAACTTAGCAAGGCTGTTTGTTCACATTTTCTTGGCATCTCTGTGTCTTTGGCTCCTTTCCTCTTGGTATAGGGAGGGCACCTCTCCAAGGGGGATATTATGACCTTCTTCAGGAGAATGTTAGAAAACTCTTGCTCAGTTTTGTGGCCTGCTTCAGGGCAAGAGGACTAAGGGACAGGGGAGAGGGGGAAGAGGGAAATAACCTAACTACTTCTGCTGATTTCTCAAATAACAAAATGCCATATTTTGTAGTAACATGTTGTGAACCTAACAGATACTTGCTTGGTTTTACTCTCAGGATTTCTTTGCAGAATCAGCAATTATTAGATTATTAAGTATGGAATGTCCAATTTCCTTAAGTACTGAGTTTAACAGTTGATACCTCTGACATTTCACTGTGATAATTCTTGTTTTATTTTTATTGTGAAGGTACATCCTCAGTCTTTCAAATGCACATTTTGGCTTGTGATTCTCTTTCAAAATTTTTTTAGAGCAATTCTTGTGAAACCATGGATAAGTCAAAAATTCATGTTATTTTTGAATATGAGTTATATTGTGGACCAGAGCAGTGCAGACAGCTCAAAATATCAACCAAGTGTATGGGAAGGATGTGGTTAATGAATGCACAGTACATTGATGGTTTGAGGAGTTCCATTCCGGTGATTTTAATCTTTAATCTGAGACCGAGGTGGGCAATGATGAGCTGAAAGCTTCCATTATAGCTTTCAGCTCCACTGCCCATCTCAATTTATGCATGAATTAGCAGCAAGGTTTGACGTTACTATCCCAACAATGTTGGACCATTTGAAACCAATGGGCAAGGAACGGAAGCTGAATATTTGGATACTGCAGGAATTAAATGAGCATCTGAAGAGAAATCGTCTTGAAGCTTGCCTTTCTTTGCTATCATGACATAAAGGTGAACCATTTCTATTCTATGTTGTTACTTATGATGAAAAATGGATTCTTTTTGTCAATCACAAGCATTCAGCATGATGGTTGGATAAAGATGAAGTGCTGAAACACAGTCCAAACCAAGTATTCATCAGAAAAAGCTAATGGTGTCTGTTTGGTGGTCCAGTGCTGGTATTATCCACTACAGCCCCATGAAATATAGTCAATCGATTACAGTGATGTCTACTGCAAGCAATCGGACAAAATGATGAGAATGCTTGTAATTAAGCAGCTGAGATTGGTCGATAGAGATAGGCCAGTCCTCTTGTAAGACCACATGTTGCAAAAAACAATGCTGCTCAAACTACAGAAGCTGGATTTGGAAACTCTCTGTCATCCACTGTATTGACCAGACCTTGCACCAACTGGCTACCAGTTCTTCCAGGCTTTGGGCCAATTCTTGCAAGGAAAAATATTCAGTTCTCAACAAGCTGTGGAAAATACCTTTTGTTATTTCATTGCCGCTCTCTAGGCTTCTTTGCTGCTGGCATAAGCAAGCTACCCTTAAGATGGCAAAATGGTGTTGCTAATTTAGGCAAATACCTTGATTCATCTTACCGCTTCTTGTCTGGGATGTAATAAAGTAAACTTTTGATTTGAAACTGGACATTTCATATTTAATTACCTAATTTTTTTAAAAAAAAGAATGAAAAAATAGTTGTTATTCTTGTGCATGCCATTCTGAATTTGAAGCCATTAGGATAAGGATAATAAGGACATTTGTGAGACAGTATTTTAAAAGGAAAAAATTGAACATTGAACAGAGATTAGGAAAATAAGGTTTTAATTTGCGTTTGACTATATAAAATAATGAATCTTTGTGCATAAGAAACTTCAGGTTTATTTTTCTAAGGTTTTGATAAAGAAATTTCTTTGGAAGTTATATATTGGTATAAGTATATATATAGGTATATATATGTGTAAATATCGGTATAAATATTTATGAGATAGGTATACATATACTCTCTGTGTGTGCAATAAAGAAATTGAAGTATTTTTTTAGCATTGAAAGCTGAAGATCATTTTTGAGCTGAGCAATATTAGGATTGTTTTTGATTGCAATCTATGTTATCCTTTTAATGGTGCCTTTGGGATAATTAGCCTTTAGGTATTTAAACCTATGAAATGCATGGTCATTCAAACATGAATCTCTGATGGAAAATTAATAGCACAGTTTATTCAATGGCTGATTTCCTGGTGTCATAATTGAATGACTGTGAATAAATGTTTCAGCTATTTACTAAACATCTGATAAGACCAAATACAAACAGAATATTGGTGGAGCAGCATGCTTTGCTCACTAATACACAGCACTGCTTCTGTTTGTCTTAATGTAGATCATTATTCCATGAAATTCTAGAGTGGATAATACTTTATTCTTTGTCTAATTGAATTTTAAAGACTTGTTTTGTGTACCCTATTGTTTCTATGCTCAGAGCACATTCACAACTATCTATGAAATAGGTACAAAATACACTTGAAGTGCTTTATGCATTACATTTGAAATAAAATGATTATTTAGTCATCATCAGTTTCTTTAAAAATAATGAAGTTTACATAGGTGCAAGCAATGCTTATTCTAGGGTTGATTTTGATCCTTTAAATCCATTTAGCTTTCAATTATTTAGAGGTTCAGTGTCTATTTTATAAATTACGTAGATCCATCTTTTATATCTTCCTGCTTCCAACCTTCTATTCATTTTACAAATAAAAGCACAGTGGAATTTAAGCTGTCAGCTCTGATAACTGATCTGTAGATCAACAATTAAAAGGTGATTGGCATGATATTTTAAATATATGAATCTTCCTAAAAGTGCTTATACTTGCATCCCATGAGTTTTAACTACAATAGAACCCCCACATTGAGTCCAATATGTTTTATTTTTCTTTATTTAGCTGTAATTTTAGATTATACTGCAATCCTTATTGACTATCAAAAGATAGAAATTGATATGTGTAATAGTGAAACACATAATTTCCATTTCTTAGGCATAATATTGTGGGGAAACTTCCCCTTTGCCCAGGAAGGGGAAAGATCAACTCACAATAAGAGAGATTAATAAGAGAAAGAGATTTATTGACCATGTACATGGGGAGAATCACAGAGTGATTACCCAATTTCCCAATGGGGTCT